CGCATAGCTCAGGCGACAGCGCCAGCCCCGGGCCCACAGCACAAGGCGCTCGGGCGGCCCCAGCCCCGGCCCTAGGGCACATGCCGGCGCCGGGTGCAAGGGCATCCCAGTCCCCTGGCGTGCTCCCGGACGCGCGGCCCCGCCCCCGGGCGCCCGGCACATGAGTGGCCCCACCCCTGGGCGCCCGGGAGCCTCTAAAGGTTGGGGACCACTGGTCTAAATGTTGACATCCCTACTATATATTTGAGAGAGTTTGTCTATGTGTCTTATTGTCCTGCAGCCGAGGGACATGCATCCTTCCCCACCTGTGCCCACAGGAGTTGCAGTGGCCATAGAGAGGTGCTTCTCACCTGGTCCCAAGCTGCTGCTGTGAGAGAGAACTGGGATCCCCAGGACAGCCTGCATACTGAACCTCTTATTCCCAGCCCCAGCCTGAAGCAATGATTTAAATTATGAATCTTATTTTCCAAAAAACAAATATTAATTTTGTTAAGGACCTGAGCAACACCAGATAAATCTTCTAGTTCTTAATATGAGACAAATCTTAACCTTGAATACACATGTGAAGCTTCCATTAACTTCAATGGAACTGTGCATGTCTCTCATGATGGCAGTATTTGATCTTAATATATTAGTTTCTTCCCATTAAGATTCTGTTAATACTTCACTATATTCTTTCTCCTCTTTTATGGATTAAAGAGCAGGAACCGTATCAGAAGAAATACAGACAAGCAAACATAAACGTGTCAGTGATAGTTAAAAGAGAAAAAAAACAGGCATGGAGAATTCTATGGCTTAGGTTAGGACAATCAACAAATATTTACAATACAGAGCAAGGTAAGGGAAGCTGGGTCACCCTAATCCCGTGGTCCCCAACACGGGCGCGTGGCGCTTGGGGCGGGGGGCGCCGGCCCCCAGCGCACGGAGCTGGGGGGGAGGGGGCGCCGGCCCCCAGCGCACGGAGCTGGGGGGGAGGGGGCGCCGGCCCCCAGCGCACGGAGCTGGGGGGGAGGGGGCGCCGGCCCCCAGCGCACGGAGCTGGGGGGGAGGGGGCGCCGGCCCCCAGCGCACGGAGCTGGGGGGGAGGGGGCGCCGGCCCCCAGCGCACGGAGCTGGGGGGGAGGGGGCGCCGGCCCCGGGCGCTTGGAGGAGGAGGGGGGGCACCGCTATGGGGGGAGCACGGCAATGGGGGGGCCCCGCCCCCGCCCCCTGGCGCCCGGCGGGCGCCCGGCCACCACCACAGGTTGGGGATCACTGCCCTAATCCTTACTAAAAGAAAGGAAAACACGTTTTGTTGCTGAGGAGAGAGAGTTGACATATACCTACACAAGTGTGCTATTGTACACTTGATTATTCTGACCATTTTCTGAATATAAACTAGTTTACATCTGCTTACACAGTCCATACGAATTGTGCATGCTCCCACTGGCTGTTCAGTTGGTTGCAGGCAGAGGTCACCTGTTCCGTGCAGGATCCAATCTTGGTTGGTGGGGTGGAGACCTCCTGTAAATGAAATTCTTCTGCCGATTGGCTCACCCTCCAGTGGATCCTTTCCTCTTCCTTCGCTTCCTATATTAAGTCTGCAATCACCCCCATCTAGTTGTACCATATGGGAAATGGTAGGGTGACTAGCATTAAGTGCTACCTTTTTGCAGAGAAGATGTATATCATCTCTTCTTATTCACCACCTCCAATTGCTATATGGAGATGTTCTTTACCAAGTTGATGTATCCTCACATAATTTCCGGGCTGTCAGCAGGGGATGCTTGCTCTCTGCTGTTGTCAGCCCACCTAAGGGAAATATGCTTTCCCAAGATGTCAGGAAGACACTGTCTTGTCTGCCATCACCCTAATTTCCCTGGCAGCATGGGGTAAGAGGCAGACATGGGCTTCCAACAACAGTGTAATGATTGCCAACCACAAGCTGTGTGCTGGTTTTAATACCACTTACCTGTTACTGTTTTTCCTGCTGCACCATTCTGTGTAGCTACATTCTCCTGAACTTACTATTTCCTTTTCTGCCCTTGTGCCTATTTTCCGCCCACCTGCACATGCTCTTTTTCCATCCATCCTATTCCTCTGTCACTTTCTCTGCCTCAAACCAATGCCATCCGTACCCCTATCCAACTCCAGAATGTCTCAGAAGTAGCTTGTTAACAGCTCATTTATTTTTAAAAGTAAGGATGAAATCCTGGGTCAGTTTTATTCAATGGCAAATTTCTGTTGATTTTTAACAATCATGTCTCTACCTTCATCTACTGCCTGCACCTTTAAGGACACCTCGACACAGCAAGTAGGTACCTGTGTCTGGCCTATACCAGCCAATTTGGGCTCATGGGGATCTGGCTCTGGGGCTGTTTCGTTGCTGTGTAGACTTCACCTCCAGCTCTGGGATCTTCCCATCTCACTGGTCCTAGAGCCTGGGCTTCAGCCCGAACCCAAAGTCTGCACAGCAGTAAAACTGTCCAACTGCCCAAGCCCAGGTCAGCTGGCAGTGGACACCTAGTTGCTTTGTAAATGTACCCTAAGTGTTGTACCAGACATACCAACATCAGCATGTGACCTGCTGGAAAGTAACCTATCAGCTTGTGCATCATGTTGAGTGTTTTCAAACTGACCCTCTTCAGGTTGCTTATGTGATCTAGTGTCTCTCTAACAGGTCTTCCTATCTACTGTTGTCTTATTATTAATTGTGTTACGTGGCTCTAGCCATCCTATTCGAGCCTCAGGGACCCATTATGCCAGGCACTGTATAAACAAGTAACTAAGGAAACAGACTACCTCAGCATGCTTGCAATCTAAGGGAAGGTCTACAGTATGGGGGAAAGTTGATTTAACCTACACAATTTGAGTTATGTTAGTAGTGTCACTCAAGTCGTAGCTTAGATCTGCTTACCATAGGGCCAACACTGCACTGGGTTGCTGGGAGAAACTCATGTCGTTCTGGTGGAGTACTGGAGTTGACCTTCAAGATAACAGTGGTTGATTTAGTGGGTCTTCACTAGACCTGCTACATCAATTCTCGGTGGATCAATCTCCATAGCTTTGATCCACCCAGTAGTGGAGAGGAGTCCTAGGTGTTAGATAGGATATGACAGGAGGAGGAAAAAGATAAAAGGGCGATAAGATGTAATAACACAATTAAAATTTAGTAGAAAAGCAGAAATCCCCAGAAGACTTATAAAATTGCTAAAACAGGACTTGATTCTGCTGTCCTTGACTTAGTCAAAAATCCTTTTGGCTTAGCTAGTGTAAGGATTGCAAGATCATGCCCAGAAATAACAGATGCAGAGAGAAAAATGACAGTTAAGGACATAAAAGTTGAGGCATCAGGATGTGCTCTTTTTATACCCTATATTAACAAAGGATGGCTCTGAGTAGCATTGGGTTCATTAAAAATAAGCACTTGAACCTTTTGGGAGTGTGTGTGAATTAAAGGGAATCAGTTCTACTCAATAAACATTTTTACTGTTTTTTTTATTTTTTGCTCTCCAGAGTATTATATTTTTTCCTTATTAAACCTCTGCAGGTAAGATCCCTCTGTTTTATAAGGAACTGAACAACTATTTAAAGGTCACTTCAAATTGCCTGTGCTGATCCTTGCATGGTCTGACTCTTCCAGCTGCAACAAAATTAACACATGAATCCCTGTGTCTGTAGCTTATTGTAATGTGATTCTATAGTCAACTCTACAGATGAGTCTTTTTCAGAGTTAAACATGAACGTGTTTAACTAAATTGAAAACTAAATTTTTCCATTTCCTTTATTTAGCTTTCCTTTGCCTGATCTATAAACATGTCCATGGATCTGCTATGTAAGTAAAGTTCCTTTCTAAAAATGTTAATACTACATGACTTTATCAGAATGCTTAGGATTGATGTTTCATTTTAAATTGAAGAACTATTTTTATGTTGGTGTTTTCTGTGAGACAGCTGGAGTACATTATTGTTAGTGGAATAAGGCACTAAACGTGATTAAAGATGTGAAAATCAACGGAAGTCACAAATTCATTGAGATATCAACTTAAAAATCATACTTTTGTCATACTCTCTGCCTTTGTTGCAAGTGAATTTAAGATTGATAGCTGAAAGATAGAAGACAAAAAAAACCCTTCCTTCCATGTTCTGTATTGTTTCACTATTGTCAGTTTCCTCTGTTACATACCAGTCTTTACACAGCAAAGGAGGGGAAACAAGAAGACAAAACAGAATTGTAAAACCACAATGATTGTCAGAGAGCCTCAATGAAGGTGTAGGCAGCTGAGACTATTTTTAAGCACTTTTATTTTTTTTTTTTTTTAGGCTGACTAGATTTCAAGTCAGTGGTACCCTTTTCCTTGATTAAAGGGAAGGACATTGCCTGGCGGCAAAAATGCTAATAGTTACATATTGCTGACTCAGAGGAAGATCCCAAAATTATCTGCTGAGGACTGAGCTGAACGAGGGTGGCAGTGTTGGAGTACGTAGTTACATTGCAGTTGTCTGCTAACTTGGTTAAAGCAAAACTGTTCCGGTTAGTTCTATATAAAGCCATAGTTCTCAACCTTCCCAGCCTATTGTGCACTTTTCAGGAGGCTGATTTGTCTTGTGTCCCCCAAGTTTTACCTCAGTTAGAAACTATTTGCTTACAAAATCAGGCATAAAAATACAAAACACTATTACTGAAAATACTGTTTACTCTCTAATTTAAAAAAAATCCTAAAACTGTTAACCCCTGCCCCCAAGTTTGATAAACTCTGATATAGTGTCTAGAGCAGTATATGCATGTGATTGTCTGTATGAAAATTTTAGTTTGTACTGACTTTCCATATAGCCAGTTATAAAACTAGGCAACTATCTAGATGAGTTGATGTACCCCTCTGGAAAACCTCTGTGTATCCTCAGGGGTATAGAATCATAGAGCTGGAAGAGACCTCAGCAGGCCATCAAGTCCAGCCCCCCGCACAAGGCAGGACCAGTCCCAACTAAATCAACCCAGCCAGGGCTTTGTTAAGCCGAGACTTCTAGGGATGGAGATTCCACCACCTCCCTAGGTAACTCATTCCAGTGCTTCACCACCCTCTTAGTGAAATAGTTTTTCCTAATATCCAAGCTAGACCTCTCCAACTGTAACTTGAGACCATCACTACTTTGAACAGCCTCTCCCCATCCTCTTTGGAACCTCCCTTCAGGAAGTTAAAGGCTGCTATCAAATCCCCCCTCGCTCTTCTTTTCTGCAGACTAAACAAACCCAAATCCTTCAGTCTCTCCTCACAGGTCTTGCGCTTCAGCCTTCTAATCATTTTGGTCGCCCTCCGCTGGACCCTCTCCAATGCGTCCACATCCTTTCTACAGTGGGGGGCCCATAACTGGACACAGTACTCCAAGTGTGGCCTCACCAGAGCGGAATAAAGGGGAATAATCACTTTCTCTAGATCTGCTGGCAATGGTCCTACTAATGCACCCTACTATGCCATTAGCCTTCTTAGCTACAAGGGCACACTGTGGATTCATATCCAGCTTCCCATCCACTGTAATCCCCAGGTCCTTTTCTGCCGAACTGCTACTTAGCCATTTGGTTCCCAGCCTATAACAATGCTTGGGATTCTTCCGTCCTAAGTGCAGGACTCTGTACTTGTCCTTGTTGAACCTCATCAGATTTCTTGTGGCCCAATCCTCTAATCTTTCTAGCTCACTCTGGAACTTATCCCTGCCCTCCAGTGTATCTACCTCTCCCCCTAGCTTAGTGTCATCTGCAAACTTGCCGAGGATGCAATCCATCTCCTCATCCAGGTCATTAATAAAAATGTTGAACAAAACCAGTCCAAGAACAGATCCTTGGGGCACTCCGCTAGAAACCGACTCCTAGTTGATAATCATTGATATATAAGATCTTAATTATTTCCCTGAGCCATGCTAAACCATCCCATGTTTCAGGGACATGTTAAAGTATGATTCTACCCTGAAAAGTGACTATGTAAAAATAGCATTTGTTTTTTAATGAGTGGGTCTGTTTCTTATTTATACTCAGTGTCCTATCTGCTGCCTTTAAGGACAAAAGTAAGTTATTAAATCTGCTAGCCCAGATGCGCCAATATAGCTAAGATAAAGAGGGCTGGATTTGCCGTTTCTTTGGCATCCTCAGCAGAACAGAGTTCCAATAAACTAAGCTCATCTGAAGGGAGAGGAGTTCATTGGTGTCGCTGAGAACATAACTTGGCTTTTGATATCTTTCCAAATAGTGACACTTTCATTTGCTGTCATGGTGGAACATATCACTGGCCTCCCTGTCAACTAGGGCTATTGTCTGAATCTCCTGACATTTCTCTATCTCTTCCACATGTGCGTGCACTATATCCATTTCTTTCCATACAGCTGTGATATCCATTCCTTCTTTTCTATCCAGACAGAAAGTTTGGTCATCCATATCCTCATCTTTGAGTATAGTAACTACTTTAACAGTCTCCTCTCTGGCCTTCCTAATACCCAAATTCTTCCCTCGGCATTGTGAAAAGTGCAGGCACTGAAAATTTAAATTTTTCTTGCTAATTGAAACCAGATAATAGAACTTGGGTCTCTGGTGTTTTAGGTCTCTTTCTTAACCTCTAAGGCCATTCTAAGTTTTAATTAAAATGATTGGGATGATAACTGTCTTAACGCAGACTGAATATAAAATAATGCACTGCTGTCTTCCAAAGCCTGTGAACAGACTCTTTTGGTGCTCTTGTTATGCTCCCCTCTTACACACCCTGAAATGGAGTGAAATTAACAAGACTGGCCAATTTCACCTCTGCTATTGGAGACAATGGGGAGAACACGGAGACTATCAAGAACCAAGGCAATTTCCACTGGAAACCCTGCATCTCTGGCAGGAAAGATCAGGATGAATCCAGGTCTTTCCACTGGTTTGGAATGCTATAAGAAAGAGAGGAGCTGAAGGACCCAGTGACAGTGCATTGATAACATCTTTCTAAACAAAAGGTATACAAAGAACATAAGGTGATGCTGAAGAATATGAGTAACTTCATTTATTACACCAGTACATATATGGGGCATTAAGCTGGATCCAAAGTCTACTGCACAGTCCCCTGGGTTCTGCAACTCTGTGACGTGGTGAACTGAAAGTCTTGCAATTGCTTACATAAAAACTAGAGCTTTTTGAAAATATTAAATATGAAAATGAATAATACAAGTAGTGCAGAAGCCTCTCATGCATTTTGATATTTTATATTAGATACCTGTATTGTTTCTGCTTTTTCAGATTTTGATAGGATATTAATGTTTGTATTGACATAACATTAGCAGCGCTGGCATTTATCAGTGAGGCGATAGGAGGATTTGGCTGCTTGTCAGGGAATAGTTTGAGGCTTGAGGCTTTGATGGAAGCATTTGGGATAAGTGAATTAGCTGGAAGTTTTTTGCAGAAATACTTAACAGTAAATAGTTGACATTTAAGATGTTTCCTTCAGGATCCAGAGTTAACTCTCCATTGACATGATTGAGACAGTTCACATCTCAGTGTTGTTTCATGTTGTGTGCAGAGATTGAGCCTTGAAAATATGAAGACATCTTCAACATGATGACTAGAAATCATAGTAAGGAAGAAATCTTAAATTCTTAGAAATCTTAGAACACAATTCTGCTGCCAGGGGTAGATTCTATATAGCAAATTTCACAAACACACACTACAGAGGAACCTCTCCACAGTTTGAACATCAATGACAACAAACTTTGGGAAGTAAACTGAAAATCTAGGTCATAATGAAATTGGAACATAATAAAATAACGAGATGGCAAATAACTCTGACTTGTAGCCTTCACTGGGGAAATTAAGAATAGAGATTAAGTTTGTTTATGAAATGTCAGAAAGTTATTGAAGCTTGACTGAGCAGGGAAGTAATTAACTTCCCATGGAGCTTGTTTTTCTTTCTTACCTCAGATGAACTAGCGGGCATCATATTATGCTGTCTGAATGTGTGTGTGTGTCACGGTTAGTATTCTGCACTGCCAGTGGAATTTAGGAAGCAGATGAATTTGAATGAACCCTGAGGAGGTCTGCAGAGCTCTTTCCTTGTCTTGAGGAAATGTGTGGCTGTTCATCTCAGCCAGGCCTAACAAAAACAATAAAGGAGAGGAGGTGGGTCTTGTATCTTTGTATTTGCTCCTCAAAAACTCTGAAATGAATGCCCTGTTTTCCTAAAAAATTGAATGGTTATGCCTAATTAGCTTTGTGATACCCTAGGGAATTCACTGCTTCTGTTTGACAGCTGAAAAGGAGCACATGATACAGAGTGGGTCCTCTTTTGAAAACAAGGCAGAGCAAAGTTAGACTTTAGTTAACACAGGAATATTTGGAAAATAAAGCTGAAGGAAGATGACATGTTTCCTGCCATCTCACACTAACCTTATTCTGTAAAAATATCATTTGTAATCTGGTAAGAGTCATTTCAGTTTAGGCTTGTGAATTATTTATACTGTATTATTCTTAAATGAAAAAAGTTTGATCTCACTATATTCTTCCCCATGAAAAATATAAACAAGACGGGCTTATTTCTTAGCTTTTTTTTAAACAAGAACAGAAATAATGAGGATTTTTAATGAAAGTAAAAAAGGTAATAATGAGAAATAGATTTTCCTTTGACTGACGTTTAAGGCTCTCTCTTAAAATTTTCCCACTCTTCATTTGTAGGTTGTAGTATTTGCAGTTCTTTACCTATATAAGAATTAGCTGAATTGCATTGGATATTTCAGTGACTTGTGTATTTTGCAACCTTAATATTCACAGAAAGTACCCTAATTAACAGGCAAACCGTCACCAAAACTTTTAAACCTGTCT